TCGTTCTTTTAATCTTATTTGATGGTTTGTCATTTAGGTTGTTTTCTCCTTTTTGCATTTGTTCTCTGGATGTTTATTGAGTTTACATGTATCCCAAGGGGGGAAAATAACACGAGCTTGCTCGATGGCTAGCATGAGTTGAACAATCCTCCACAGAGATAAATGTTTTGGGACAAATACATAAATCAGGTCAACTTTAGGATGTTTCTTAACTTTTATCATTCTGCATATGCTGTATAAATCTATTTAGGTTCATCTACGGATTCTGCTTTTGTCTGATCTTGATGAACCCAAACACATTTCAGGGATCATGCCGGAGGGAATGATAAAATGAAGCAGCTTGTTCCTGGAATAAAAATTTATGGTGGATCGGTTGATAATGTGAGGGGTTGTACTGATAAAGTTGAAAATGGTGACAAGATATCCCTTGGTGCTGACATCAGCATATTATCTCTTCACACTCCTAGGTAAGTGATATTAAGTTTGCTCTCTTCCTTTTGTTACTTATTCTTAATTCGATGTTCTTAATACTGATTTTTTGTCAAGGACTCGGCTGCTTTCCTTATTTGGATACTCTTGTTTGATGACCCCGCTTCCTGATACTAATGGAAAAAAGCTATACTCATTTTGGAAATATCTCTTGAATGAGTCGCAGTAGACTCAATGGATATTATGAGGCACCATTATTATCTCTGATACGTTATAGAAAATTGTATGTCATCTCGTTCTCCTACAAGGTCGTTTCGCAAAATTAATTGCTTTTCCCCTCCTTTCAGTCACACAAAAGGTCATATAAGCTACTATGTTACTGGCAAGGAGGGAGAGGATCCTGCTGTTTTTACTGGGGATACATTGGTGAGTGGAGATCTCGACCTCCTTTACACAATCTTTTAGGAGCAAGTGGAACTTAATTTAATAGTTGGTTCCCGTACAGTCTATGTTTTGCTTTGTGTCAACTATTGTGCCTCTACTTTAAGAATTTGTTCGAATCATATTTCCTTATGCAGCAAGCGCATACTTTGTCTTCAGTGTTTCCAGATTTAGGCATTTCATGGTGCACCTTTCTTCATTTTCACCTGTACGATTGCTTTCATAATTCTGTTGCTGCCATTTGTTTATTAGTTTGTTATTTTCTTCATGTTGGGGAAGGTGCTCCTTCCTCATGAACATTATTGAGGAAACAGATGGGTGCAGTGTTCAGTTGACAAGAGTTCCTATTCAAAGAAAAATGAAAACAGGAGTATGGAGAGGAAGGTACTTGAGATTCTATGAGAGTAAAGCAGAGCCGATGCAAAAGAATAGGTCAACTGCCTTGGGTTACTTTCCTTTTGGTGTAGAAATGAATATATAGAGAGTGCTAACAATCTCATATTTAGTTAGCTCCCTGCAGGATTCAATGGGAATTTGTGTCTGTATTTTGTTATACATACTGCAGCACCAACTTAGTGCAACCGACTTAATGAAATTATCTTTTATTGATCAAACACAAGGGAATGGAAGGAGAAAACATTTTGGGAGCCTAAAACAGTGGAGAATTTTCAGAGAAGACGTTTAATATATGGAGTCAACTTAAAGGCTTCTAGGTGTTTTCCAAATAAATTAAAATCATAGGAGTAGCTGTTGATTAATGAATGAGGTCCTCAATTACTGACAAATTATTCGGGCTACTCAAGAAAACACTTTTGCATTATCATCAATCTTCCTATCTTGCTTCACTTTCTATCTTCACTCTCTTTCCTCAGCCATCTCTGTAACGCACGGCACAAATTTTTTTGGGACATCACAGACTTGCAATCACAACAAACCATCTTCTGCTTCTCTCTTCTTTCTGGTAAATTTCTCATGTAGGTATTATGGTAGATAGCACAAGAATATTTTGGTTCAAACTCCTTTTGCTCAATAAGTTGTTCACCATAACGCTAAGTTGCTCGGACTCGGGTACGGGTGCCAATATGGGTGCAGGTTTAGAGGTTGGATCCTTCATGATCTAAATTTTAAGATTCGGGGTACAGATCTAGGTATATGGGTGCGGTGATTCTGCTAAAAATATTTGAATTTCTAAAAATAGAGGTAATAAAAATATGTCTAAAATTATGAGACACTATGCGAAAAACTTATAAGGTAGTCTGAGAAGGAGAAAATATTGATCAAGAGGAGAATTCAAGAAGGAGATAAAAGGAAAACGACTAAAATAGAGATTTTTATATACAATGTATTCTATTTTCTTCAATTTCACCCTAGCTTTTGTTTTAATTTCAGAAACTATTGTATCTGTATACCCAAAATCGGTTGACCAGATCCGATAAGGAACCGACGTCGTGTCGACACGGATGCGGCACTGAAAGTAAAGAGTCCGAGCAACTTAGCTGTAACGTAGTCCAAAATTTGGAAGGGTGGTGGTAGACTGGACCACTTTTGGTTTATCTGTTTACTCTTTCCAGTTGGCTTTGCTCTTTCTTGGAGCTTCTCTTCATGAATTTGAAATGGTTTTATTTTTGGGAGAAGATGATGGGAACTCTAACCACCCTATTCAAGTTCTGTTAAAAGTGGAATAGAGCAACAAATCAGTATGTGAAACCAGAAGATTGTGTGACAACGCGAGTAGGAGGATTTCCTCTGAACTGACAGTCTTCTTTAAATATTTTGTGACTATACTGTTGGATGATCAAAATAATTTTGTTTTAACATTATTCGTCTTTTTGGCTTGCAGTTTATTGCTGGTTGTGGTAAGTTTTTTGAAGGCACTGCAGAACAAATGTATCAGTCACTGTGTGTGACACTAGGTTCTTTGCCAAAGCCAACTCGGGTGTATTGTGGCCATGAGGTAACATATGCATGCTCTTGTAAATTTTCTAAAGAAAAGAATTACTCTTGTATCACATAAAGTGTTCTCAGGATGGATTCTTGATTTTGAGCATCAACGGTTAACTCTCTAATGTACCACATTTGAACAGTATTTTAATAGGACTATTAAAGAGAGTTTAGAACACTTGAGGAAAAAGTGGAAAATAAGCAGAACAAATCATCAAGTTACCCTTTCTTTGTCCATATCTTAAGGACTAGAGCAACTTTAGCCCCTCAGTTCTAGGTTACAGCACAGAGATGTGATATCTCTTTAAATTTTCCCCCTTCGACTGGGTATACCAGATACAACTTCAGTGTGATGAGCACTTTAGTTGAAAGCTTCATGTGGTGTTAGCAATTTTTCTAAGATGAATGTTACCTTTTTGTGTTTTAGCAGCAATCCGCTACTTTCTAAGGGAATCCTAATGCGTGTTAAATGATTTGCAGTACACAGTAAAAAATTTGCAGTTTGCTTTAACAGTTGAACCTGACAATGCCAAAATTGCACAAAAGCTGGCATGGGCTGAGCATCAGAGAAGAGTAGGTCTTCCAACAATTCCATCAACCATTGAGGAAGAAATGGAAACTAACCCATTCATGCGGGCTGATCTTCCAGAGGTTCAGGTAACATTAGTTCTGTACAACACCTATCTTATTGCATTTTAGAGGAGAAAAAAGAAATACTTCTGATAAAATTAGCATAGAGTTAAGTTAAGGGTGTGACCTAGCCGTTAATGAAGTGAGTGAAACCATGGGAGACCAGGATTCAAATTGCAGTAGAGACAGAGGTGCTAGGTGATTTCTTTTTATTTTCTAAGCCGTGATGGCTAAAGTTACCCGTGTAGGTCGGAGGTAGTAGGTATTTGGCAGAATAGGCAAGATGTGCCCAAGCTCGCCCCGGCACCTACCTTTATCCAAGAAAAAAGGAGAAAAATATTAGGATGGACTCACTTCATGGGCATGAGATATGAAAGTGTATCTGCTACAAGTAGCGATGGCAATGGGGCAGGTTCGCTCTTTTGCGGGTAAGGG